TACTCATATACTGCCTATGACATTTTATATTTTTTGTATTTATATTTACTTTTTAAGATTTTATCTGTATATATCTTTATCACTAAAATTTTCCATTCAGAGAGAAAAAGTATATATCTTACAGACTGAAGTATATGAATAGTAGGTGCTCTAAATGTTAAGTAGTCCTAAAAGCTTATTACAGTTTTTAGAGTTACTTAGAAAAACCTCACAATTGCTCAAAACCTTCATTATAATAGCATCACATGCTTGAGAGGGATTCAGTGTAGATGAAGAACTAAATGTTGCCTCCTCTGAAATTTAGAAAGAAAAAAAAAGTTTTTCATGGATGCACCATCTGTTGATTTTAACAAATGTCTATTGTAATGTTTTTCTGTAGTAAAGTGGCAACCTTGACATCGTTTTTGAACTGAAAAAAAATAGAGTAAGAATCAAAATTGGTAATCATTTAAAATTAGTTTTGTTTGACACAGTAGCAAATGTAGCATACTTCACATTTGCTTCTATGAGCCTCACAGAAGTCTGGATGTTTCAACAAATTGAAATTTCCAAAATGTTGCTAACATTTCTCTCTGGAGAGAAAACAGTTGTTTTGTAGCAAATAGCATATTGAAGCTTTTTAGGAAAGTGTGTTGAAAACATAACATCTGTAAAGATGATAAAATGCCTCTGTTTAACTGGTAGGAGACCAGTGTTATCTAGTATTAACATCTCATGTGGTTTTTTATTATTATTGTTGTTTTTTGTGGTGCTGGGAATTGAACTAGGACCTTATGCATGCTAGGCAGGTGCTCTACATCCTCAGCCCCAACATCTTGAATATTGTACAGTCCTAAACTTTATAGATCTGATTTGCTTAAAGAAAGGCAAATTAGTGACTATTTTATTTTCTTGGTGGGGAGAATACACACACACACACACACACACATATATATAATGTCTTAGTACAGTATACTTGTGATTAAGATGAAACTATTTTTTGGTCTAAACTTTAAGACAAAATTATTGTATCAAACAATTCTTTCATAATTGGTAGAACATCGGATTTACCAAAATAAACATATCCTGTATTTTATATTAGATCACCCCCAAAAAATAGATTAATGGATTTCTTAGTTAAGAGTAGGCTTTAGAAATTCCATAATAGGTCTTTGCATTGACTTTTAATCTCTTAAAACATGAGGCTTGCCTGGGATGAAGCATGAATTAATTTTACAGCTTTTGACAAAATTGAATCTTAAAACCATCCACATATATATGACAGTCATTTCTGAAAAGCAATTAGCTTGCTATAAATACAAGAGATTTCCTGTGAGAAAACTGCTCACACTATGTAATGAATAAAGAAATTTGGCAGTTTAAAGATAAAGCGTATCATATCCAAAAAATAAAAAACTGTAGTTTTTTAGTTTGTTTTGACTCTTGTGCTTTTTCACTTAGATTTAGTTGTGAAAGAAGTGGCAGGCTGGTGTGAGACATGTTTATGTCCTTTATAGTATGGGATTAACTTTCATAATTAGTTTTTAGAAATCTTTATGGAAATTTTTTTTCATGAATCTATTAAAGTACATGAAAATGATTTGCCTTTCAATTAGAAAGCAAACTAATTCCTAAACCTTAGGACAGATTTTAGAATTAGACAAATGATGGTGGAGAGGAATTCTTATACAATGTAATAGTGGCTGTACCTTGAGTTTTTGTTTATAAAATGGGATTTTCAATATATTTTTCTTAGAATTATGTGAATTATATGGAATAGTCTGAATAAAGTTCGTAGCACAATACCAGGCCCATAAAAGTCTCTAATAAAAATGGTGTTTCTTTCACCTCTACTCCTCCTTTCTCCAAGGCTGTTATAAACCATACAGGTGAGGGCTTTATTCCTATCACTTTGAGATCCAGGTAATTAGAATCCTCAGAAGTACTTTCTTTTTGCATCTTTCCTTCATATCAGAAACTATGATCTGAGAAACACAAGCAAATAACTGAAAACACAGGGTATGTTTTTTAGGGCACCCTAGATCCTTAGAACTTGATATCCACTTCCAGAAAAAATAGAGTGTTTGGGGCATTGTGCATGGGAGTTCACATCTGTGATATAGAGTTTCCTTTTATGGAGACATTTTGAGCTCAAGGTATTTCATTTCAAAGCCATTACTTTGGTTTTAATTTATAAATAACCTTGTAGAATAGCCAGCCTTTTCCAATTCAGGTTGACAAGTAAAAATAAACCGAGTAGTCTATTATTTGCCTTCATTTACTACCACTGATAATTTTATGGTAAAGCATATATTGAATAAGAGTGAATCACATGAGATTTGGTTTCTTCTGTTTATTTAGTTTTATTTTCTTGCTGTTTAAAATTGAAATTAGAGATGAAAGAGAAGACAATTCTTCTGTTTATGTAATATATTATACTTTTTGTTCTTGAATTACAGGATATGTATTTTTTATTGGTTTTATTCTTTAAATACATGACAGCGGAATGTAAATCATACTTTTTTTTACATAAGTTGTGTACAGAATAATTCCAGGAAATATTGGGAAACAAACTAGCAGAGACAACTAACTCCCTGATGTTCACAAATGGTTTGTATAGATTAACTCCTTCAGCCCCAATAGCAACCATCTGTCAGTTTCCAAGCATTGTGCTCTAGGTTACATAGCTTAAAAATTGAATAATGAAAGGTTTCTGAAGTATAGAACACAATGCACATTTATTAAAAGCATCTGATTTCTCATCTTTGCCTTAAAATAGTTTTTAAAATTACTGTTATTAAATAAAAATGTGATTTTCATTGAACCATATTCAGGATAGTTTTTGTTATTGTTGTTAAACAAAAACCCAGACAAGTAATTTATGATTATAGTAGCCCATCCTTATCTGTAGTTTCACTTTCTGTGATTTCTAGCCATGATCATCTGTGGTCTGAAAATATTAAATGGAAAATTACAGAACTAAACTGTTTGTAACTCTTAAATAATTTTCATTATAGTATATTATTGTTTTCCTATTTGTTATTATTTATTATTGATATCGCTTAATATGTCTAATGTATAAGTTAAATTAATACTGCTATGGTTTGGGTCTTGGATATCCACCTCCAATGGCCCATGTTATAAAGGTTTGGTCTTTATCATGTTAGCTTTCCTCATGAAGATTCAAAAGAACTTCCGAATTTTAATTGAGATATTATTAGTAGACTAATATTAAATCATCTGTTGGATCATTAACAGAACAATGAATTATTAAGACTTGAAGCAAATTCATTTCTTATTTCACATTTACATATTTACAATGTATATTTAATGCTTCTCCTAATTGGACACTTAATGGAGAAAGGAATGGTGCATTTATTGTTTTTTTGCTACTGTGAAAAATATTGATAAATGCTGTGTGTGTGAGTCATTATCTTTCAAGTTTTAGGAAGCAGGAAATTCTTGGTTAATGTTAAACATGATGTGGTAGGATGCTTTGCTTTATTTCCCATCTGACAGGTTAATGTTAAACATGATGTGGTAGGATGCTTTTCTTTATTTCCCATCTGACATAAAAATATATGGGAAAAAGTTTACTTGCTGCTTTTTTTTTTTTTTTTTTCCTTCTTCACATCTTCCGGATAGGTAACATTCTGTTTCTTTCTTGGCGAGAAATCATACATACTGCCACAGTGGTAGAAGAAGCCTGATTTTATGTTGCAGCAGTTTTTAAGAGACTTTTACTTAGATACCTATAGTTGATCCAGCGTCTAAGTAACCTTATGAATGGGTCATTAGCTTGGGCTTAGTCTGTTTTGATTTGGTTTTCAGACCCAAAGTATTTAACTATTTATTCATGTGTATTTGAAAAAAAGAAAAAAAAAAGAAGAAGAAGAGAAGAAATCCTGATTAGCATTATTGTCAAGTTGGAGACAGAGAATTCAACACATTATCTTTTCAAGATTAGGAGAAAATAAGGTATGTTGAAGCATAGAATCTGTGGAATCAGAAAGGAGTTTCTTAGAGAAAGTGATCTTAGTAAAAGGGAAGTGACTGCCAGAGTGGAGAAGATGATATATTAGTCAGTGGGAGGAATAATGCTATGGCTGTAGAGCATCTGTTATGTGTTCAGTGGGATATTTGGCTATGAATAAAATAATGGTCCTTATTTTGTTCCCTTAAAGAGCTTATCATCTATATGGGAGAATGTACATGGAAAGAAGGAATTATATTCTAGAATAATAAGCCATATGGTATTTCAGAGACTGACAAAATAGGCTTAATTCTCTGGAGAAAAATGCCATCTGAAATCTTTTAAAGTCAAGCATCAGCAACACTTGACTAGTGTAAGTGTAACCACAGAAGAGATGGGTGTGAGTGTTTGCCCAATCAGGCAGCCTCTTCATAATGCAGTTGTGGTAGGAAAGGAAAATGGCGGGAGCTCTGAGGTGGGGTATCATATGGCATTGTGAGCAACACTCGTGTCCGTAGAGTTGTCCACCTCCATTGTTTATATAGAAAAGGCAAATTGTTCCCTTACTTCCTTGCTGGTTGTTTAATCAGTCCATTATTTTCTTTGTATATAGTACAAGCTTTGTTTACCCAAGTTTGGTGATTGTTTTGAAATCAAAGTAGTAGATCTCATTCAGTTTTTTGTTTTGTTTTATTTTAATGAATTAAAATAGAAGAGAAAATAACAATGTATTATATCAGAAGTTTTTCTTCTCTTTGGTAAAACTTGTAAACAAGTTATCCCTTTTGTTTATTAATTATTGTCCTGTAGAACACTACAGAGTCAGTGCACTGCACTGAGACACCAGAAATGTGGACCCTGGTTCTAGCTCTGCACCCAAGAGGCATATGCTTCAGGCAAGTTATAGTCGTTCTGTGAACCTTGGTGTTTTCCATCTGAAAAGAGAGAGCTGGTATAGCTGAGCTTCAATGTTCCCTTCCAGCCAAGATTCTGGACAATGGTATTCCTTCAGAAGCAGTTAGGCATTAAAAAAAAAAAATGAATTCTGTTGAAGTTGCACAGAACCCTTTATTAACTCAGAAAAGTGATCCTAGGAGCTTCTTGCTTTTCTTTTTGAGCTTTTTGTTTTTCTTTTTAAGCCTAAAGTAAATGTATGCATGGCTTGCTACCACATGATCCTGTTTCCTGTCGGTTGATGTCTCTCCCAAAGTGCTCGGTCCACTGCATGAAAACAGAAATGTGGGTTTAAATGAAGAAATGTTGCTAGAGATCTTGGTTTCTGGACGTAGCTTCATGGGCTAGTTGTCACAAAAGTGAAGAAAGCATGCAGAGACTACTATGAAGGAAGGGACATGTCTAGCCCTGTTATTCATTTTCAGTTATTGGATCTGCATATATTATGTGATCTCTCACTCCTTTGTAAGATGCCTAGAGGAGATATCTACACCTCCATGCATAAGGAATGTTAAGTACTGAGGAATTCTGAATTCTCAACTCCCCTGATACTTAAAGATTACCTAAAAAGAGTGTCTAGCTTTGTAATAAGTAACAGAACTCTTTTATTCTGTTCATGTTTGTGTATTTAGGATAGTTTTCTGTAAGAGCTTACCTGTATGCTAGGCAGTAGCAATTAAACTAAGTGTAGCAAAATGGTACACGTTACAGTTAAAATTCTCAAATGAAAAGCTCTATGCTTATAGCTGTGCTTCTGATGAAGCAGAAAACTATGTGACCATCAGAAAAACAGAGCTGCTAACAGCTCCATATGGGGCATTGTGAAGCAGTTCTGTTGACACATGAATACATTTCATATGATTATCATAAAATTGTGGCCTGGAAATTGAGCAGCCATGGTGCTGCATTTCAGACTTCACATTTATAATAAGCTGTAATAAAGTAAACATTTTAAATGGATATGAGAATAGACATTACTTGCAATCACAAATGTATGTTCAATTGAAGTGCTTTTGAAGCTCAATTTGACAAAGCAAACAAATTTCCTGGCATTATTAACATAATTGTTCTCACTGTTGAGCTCTGATTTCTGAAAAGTTATTTAAGCAAAAAACAAGCTGCTAAAAAATCAAACTAAGAATGAGTTACTTTTCCTTTTATCATGTCATATGATGAGAGAAGGATTCACTCTGCCACTTCTCCTGACTTGCCAATCCATTGCTAGCCTGTTTAACTCTTGAGTTCTTATCTCATGATTAATCTGGGGTCAAATTCAGATGTTCATTCTGCCATGAGCAGAAAGTGGGGCTACACAGCTTTCATTTGCTAATGAACCTTCAAGATATGGAATAGTTGAAACAGGGATCTTCACCCTACTCCCACACATACCTTTTCTGAGGCCAGAAAATGACTAGAATATTCATTTTACAACAGAATGCAGAAAGCATGACTATATGTAAATTTAACACCAATTATATGGCAGGATTTGAAGGACTCTTATCCCTGGAATATTCCAAACACAAACCTGGAAATGATAGTGGTAACATTTGAAGTGTGGTGCTGAGAGTTAAAGAAGTGATAATTTAGAGCCTCTGGGCACAGAAAGGTACTAGGCATTGTGTCCCTTGTGGCAGCTGACAAAGCTGGTAATGTGTTCTCCTCTTTTTGTGTTCTAATGCTCCATAGTGTTCTCTGATTTTTAATAAACCCCAAACATCCCTCCTGTGTTGTAGCAGAGCCTCCCATAGCAAGTGTGCTACTTGCACAACAGTTCACCACAGTGGGAGCCACTCCTTAGGAGCTCAGTGTTGCTGGTGTACTTGTCTAAAAGTTGGCAAAGGCACAGCATGACACTCTTCAAAGACTCACACAGTGATTTTGGATAGTCATAGAGTTGAGCTGGCTGTGTCAAAATCAGAGAGAAGCAGCACACTAGCATGGGACTGTCCTGTAAAATACTGACAACTGGTAAACATTCTTGCCAAGCATATACTTACCTGATATATTATTTTTAATAAGCTCCAAGATTGTGCTAGATGCTTTTTAGAGGAAAAGTGAGAAGCCACTTACTTTAATCATCCTCAGACATAGTTTCATGAAATTATTCAGAAAATAATTTCCCAGCAAATAATAGATAACCACAAGTGCCTTATTTAGAATAGATCCTCTAGAGACTTGATAAGAGCAGTGGAGTGATGAATGTCCTAAATGTGGGGATTTTTTTGCCCATGTAGTTTCAGATTTTGTTCTTTATTCCCACCAGGAGACATTCCCATTATCCTAACTGGGAAAGACTAGAACAAAAACCTAAGAAAGTATGAAAAGTGGCAAAGGAAGGAACAAAATGAGAAATTAATCTGATTACAAATGTAAGAATTACAAATTGTAAAAATTCTGATCTTTCAAAGACCAGGCAATTGGTTACTTCTAAATGTAGAATTTTTTTTTCAAGATAATAAAATAAACTTTTACACACACGCAAAATTCTAAGCAAAGCCACCCTATCTTCTTTCTAAGTTTGAAAATAAAAGCAGGTAAACCAGTTGCCAAGACAGAGAACACTTGAAATTACTGGACCCTCCTTTAAATACCACTGATCTTTATCTCACAGAGCTAACCTAGGACACTTAGAACTTAGTCTCTTTTCTGTATCTTTTTACTACCCACATTTGAGATTTCTTAAACTTCTTTTGTCTTTCTTGACCTCTTCTGTCCAAGCTGGTATGGACCAGCATATGGCACTGAGACTTGTAGTATGCTTTGGTTTTGTTTTTTTCTCATATGCAGCCTATTTTTTTTTAAATCATTTCTGTTTGGGATGATTATATTTCATTGAGTTCAGCACAACTTACCGGAGTCCACATGTCTCTAGTTTATAGTGACTACAAAGGATACTTCATTAGCTCAACTCCATTAGTTCTTTGGTTTTAACTATTTAGTAAATATTTTTGTTTGTTTGTTGTTTGTTTGATGCTGAGGATTAAACCCAAGGCCTTGCACATGATAAGCACATTATCTACCACTGCACTATAACCCAGCCTCTAATATTTTTTTTATTAGGAGCAAAAGACAAATAAAAAGTTACTTTTTATCTAGTATGTTGAATTTTACTATTATTACTAAGAGAAAATACAGTGTAAAGCTCTAGATCCAAATAGAACTTTGCAATAATTGATTATTCTGATCCTTAATTTCTTTGTTGTTATAAAAAGGATAATAATACATGTAAAGTGTCATCTTATATCCTACAATTATGTTTAATTTATTAATATTATGTTTAATTTAGCATTTAATAAGTATTAAATTTTTTCTATGAAGGAAAAATGTCAGTCAATAATTAAACATAAATATCTCTGATGAAAATAATGATCTTAGCTGAAAAATCTTTAAAAAGTTTTGAGTAAAGCTTATCAAAATAGTGAATTTGCTATCTCCTCTGACTTTTATACATGAATGGTCATGTACATGTGTATGCATGTGTACCCACACTAAGTAATACAGAGAATGAGAGGGGCACTTTAGTACTTTAATATTGCAGAATGAAAGTGTTTGATTTGATGATTGCCAAGTTTTCTGTTTGGAGCTTCAGCTCCAAAATATTTGATTTTATGAGGGGTTATTGAAGTATGTTTTGAAAAAAAAATCTTGTATGAAGATGTTTAGAAATGGTGACACAATGCAGATAATTTTTTTGCAATAATTTTCAAACTTTGTCTTGATATTTCAAAATATCAAAGTATCTGGAACTGATGGTTTATATAAATCCATCATGAATGTCTTTCAAGAAAACATACAGACAAAATGGAACCCCATGATTCCAAGCATTATTATTTCTCTGTGTTTGTGTAATATCTTGTCAATAACTCTAGATCTTCTTTCTCAAAGAAGACACAGATTTGTACCTGACAAAGAATAACTTTAAATGACTGATTGAACATACCAAAGTCCAGTTATATCTGCTGGGGTTAGAAGTCTTAGTAAGGCTGCATTGATTTTAGGTACAGACTTGTAAGAAAGCTTTGTTTGCTCAGATGAATCCTGGTCATGGAAACATTTTCACTTAATTAAGCAGTTCTTTGTATCTAATCTAATGATTCAAAGGTTGTGTGAGTCTGTGGAATTTAGTTCCTGATAGTGCCACAAAGCAAGCTGAGTCATTTTAAAGAGAAAGTGCTTGTTCTAGATGATCAGAGGAGAAGATCCTCAGCATTATTGTTGGTGTTTTAAATGCTAAACTGAATGGAAATGAAATCTTTTATTATCATTGAAGCATTTTAATTTACTGCCACATACCCATGTAGATCTATCTGAAGGACAGCTCTCTTGAGGGCTCTATCCTTTTAATAAGAGCATAGTTGAATAGTTGAGTTTATAATAGGTGAGAGAAAGGAGATAATAATATAACCAGCATGCATTGCTAAATGAATTTTAAAGTAATATTGGGCCTAAGTTGTTAGCAAGTTCTTGAAAGTAAAATAATGGGCTCATTTGTACTATACATTGACAACTGCTGTGTACAGTGGCACACACCCCTAATCCCAATACTGGGGAGGCTGAGGCAGGAAAATTATAAGTTTGGAGCCAGCCTGGGCAATTTAGCAAGACCCTGTCTCCAAATCAAGTTTTAGACAAGAGCTGGGGGTATAGCTCTACAGTAGAGCACACTTGCCTAGCGTGTGTGAGGCCCTAGGTTCAATCCCCAATACTGAAAAAAAAAAAAACCTGTATGTTGACATCTTCATTTCCTAGCTCAAATATCAGCTTCAGCATATTCTGAATTTTTGGTACCATGGCTATTTAATAATCATTAAAATGATTTTCAGCTAGATATATGCTAGTGCCAGAAGTGGATAGACTGTCAAATTCACTAGGATAAACTTCATGAATTATTTGTATTGGTTGCACAATAGACATCTTTAAAAATAAGCAAGATCAGATAAGCCTGCCATTATACTTACAACTGTTTATAAAGAAAATAGTATTAGATATGCATATTGCATTTTATCCCCCTTGTATTAATGGTATATTGTAATGCTTTCCTTGGTCGTGTATCTGTTTTATTATCTGAGCATGCAGTGAAATTATGATCTGCTTATAATTCTCATCATGCTTGGCACTAAACAGACTGGGAGTCAACATGCCATGTTATATAAAGTTTGGCACTCTACTAAGCCATTGCCATGACCTCACCTTACCTGGAAAGGTGCCTGTTTTTTCCACGTGACCTTTTCCTTTTGCTAGTTGTACCCATAGAAAGGTCATTCTGT